TAGCCGGTTGAGCCATAGGCGCCGAGCCAGACTTGTGAACTTGTGAGCTTAAGCAATCCACCTGCCTTGGCCTTGTAGGCGTGAGCCACCGTGCCTGGCCAAATTATTTATTATTTAGTACTGTGGACATGATGTACTATGATATAATTGTATACTTCATTTATTTTATTTTTTATTTTCTGAGACATAGTCTTACCCTGTCACCCTGGTTAGATTACAGAGGTGTTATCATTGCTTCCTTAAACTCCTAGGCTCAAGTGATTTTTCCACTTCAGCCTTGGGAGTAACTGGGACTAAAGGTATATGCCACTATGCCCCATTAATTTTTTTTTACATTTTTGGAGATGGGGTATCGATCCTGCTCAGGTTGATCTCAAACTCCTTGCCTCAAGTAATCCTCCTGCCTTTGCCTCCCAGAGCACTAGGATTATCGGTGTGAGCCACCATGCCTGACTATAATGGCATGTTTCAAATCAATCCATTGCCTATATGATCCATACAAGTGAATCAATAAAATTAAATAGAATCAGGCTCAGAGTGTTAGGTGTATGAAATCTATCCTAGTGAAGAGTCCATTTCTTAAAGCCCTATGGATAGGCAATTCAATCGAATAGGATACTCATGAAGCCATACAACATTATACTCTGCAATCTAAGCAAATATTGAAGGATTGTGTGCACTGTTCTGTAAAATTAGTTAATAAATAAAGGCGAAGCTCATCCAAGCTAGATATTAAAGTTAATGAAACTGACCAGCGCTAACATTAATTCCAAATATCAAACTAATGCTAGACCATAAAGATCAGTTCTTGTTTGAACACAGAATAGATTGGTAACCTCTATCGCCTGTGACCATCTGTTTCAATTCCTATACTTAAGTGATTTGATGGTCTCATCTCAGGGCTTAGGCGACAATAAGTTTTGCTTTTTTTTTTTAATTTTTAATTTTTATTTTTTTGTAGAGATGGAGTTTCGCTTTATCACCCACGGTAAAGTGCCATGGCGTCACATACCTCACAGCAACCTCCAACTGCTGGTCTTAGGTGATTCTCTTGCCTTAGCCTCCCCAGTAGCTGGGACTACAGACGCCTGAGACAATGCCTGGCTATTTTTTTGTTGCAGTTTGGCCGGGGCCAGGTTTGAACCCACCACTCTCGGTATATGGGGCTCGTGCCCTGCCCACTGAGACACAGGCGCTGCCCTGACAGTGAGTTTTGATAGGAAAGAAAAATCAGAAATGATGAGCAGAAAAATTAGAAGTTAGTCAAGAGAGCCATCCTCATTCTTTCTCTTTTTTTTTCAGAAGTTTATTTATTTATTTATTTTATATTTTTGCCCTTGGTAGAGTGCCATGGCATCACAGCTCACAGCAACCTCCATCTCTTGGGCTTAGGCGATTCTCTTGTCTCAGCCTCCCGAGTAGCTGGGACCACAGGCACCCTCCACAATGCCCAGCTATTTTTAGTTGCAGTTTGGCCAGGGCCGGGTTTGAATCTGCCACCCTTGGTATATGGGGCCAGCACCCTACTCACTGAGCCACAGGTGCCACTCAAAACTTCATTTTTAGTATACAAGATTAGCAGCTCAGATTTCTAGAATAATGATATTTTATTTTTTTATAAATTTTTAAAAAATTTTGCTTTCAATTTCAGCTGGCTTTCACTCATCATAATTTGAAGGTTTTTTTTGTTTTAATTTTTTTTTTCTTTCTTCCTTTAGTGATTCTCTT